TTAGTGGGCATTAGAAAGAAGATTGAAAGGGAAACACTATAAGGAATTGGCGTTTTCGCCTGCTGAAGGAGCTTCGGGTGGCCTTATTTCTTTATGGGACTGTAATGTCTTCCGAGTTATTGATCAAATTTTTTTAAGAAGAATTTTAGCCATTAAAGGAAATATGGTTATTAATAATAGGGAGATAGGTGTTATTAACGTGTATGGACCGAACGTGCAGGGAGATAGGAGAAGTTTTTTGAGCAACTGAATTATGTTATTGCTGTCTTGAATATCCCTGTTATAGTTGGGGGTGATTTTAACATTGTTAGATCAGAGGCTGAAAGAGTTGGTTCTTTTGAACAATCGGCTGCTACATGTTTGTTTGTGGATTTTATTTTTGTTTGGGTGTTAATTGATCTTCCTGTTGCGGGCAGCCAATTTACTTGGTTCAGAGGTGGGGTTCAGGTGGCGGCGAGTAGGCTCGACAGGTTTTTAGTTTCAACTGATATTGATAGTATGTTTCCTCTACTCACACAATATTCTCTCCCCAGGGGTTTATCCGATCACATGCCGATCATTTTAAAAGAAAATAGGGTTAAGAAGTTTTTCAGGCCTTTCAAGTGATTCAAGCATTAGGAGGATGATGTTATCCTTGTAGAAAAAATTAAAAAGATTATGGGCAGTGAATAAAGGTTTTGGTTTGTTAAAAATTCTTGATCAGATTAAGAAAACGACCAAGGTCAGGGAAAGAGAAGTCAGGCAGATCAATCCCGACTCTGTGGAAGAGATTCACAAGAAGTTAGATAGTCTTGAAAATAGAGTTATTTCGGATTCAAGAAGCAGTTCATATATGTCCAATATTATCTCTTTGAAGGCGCGTTTGTGGGTTGTTTTAAGGAAGGAAGAGCGTGAATGGTTGAAGAAATCAAGGCTCCGGTGGTTTAAAGAATGCGACAAAAATACGAAGTTTTTTCACCTCTCTGCGGTCTCTAGAGGTCGAACCAACTGGATTTCGAAAATCAAGGTCTCAAATTCGGTTTTTAAGAATCAGATTGGAATTCAACGTGTTTTTGTTAATTATTTTCAGGATGGATATAATGAGGACACAACCATTCCTCTGAAGAGTTTCGACGCTCAGTTGAAGAGATTAAATCATGCTTCTCATCATTTTTTGGAGTTTCTTTTTTCGGAAGAGGAGGTTTGGCTAGCAATCAAATCGTCAGACGAGTCGAGAGCTCCAGGGCTGGACGGATTTAATTTAGATTTCTTTAAGAGGTTTTGACATGACATTAAAGGGGAAATTATGTCCCTTATGGAAGATTTTTACTGGGGCATAATTGACGATTTTTCTTTCAACAAGTGTTTTATCGCCCTTATTCCGAAGAAAGTTGAGGCTATTTATCCCGAAGATTACATACCTATATCTTTGGTGGGTAGCTTGTACAAGATTATCGCACGTGTCTTGACCAAGAGGATGGCGTCCATTATCTCGGAAGTTATTGGTTAAAATCAGTTTGCTTTTATTACCGACAAACAAATAGCGGACTGTTCTTTAATAGCGAATGAAGTCATTGATGGGTTGTATAAAAGTAAAAAAATAGTTGTTTTGATCAAGGCAGATTTCAGTAAAGCTTACGATACTGTAGACTGAAGGTTTTTACTATTGATCCTTAAGAAGATGGGTTTCGGCAAGAGATTGAGGAAGTGGATTAAAATGTGCATCTTGTCACCTTTGATTGCAGTGTGAGTTAATGGATGTCCATCAAATTATTTTTCTATCAAGATGGGGCTTCGTCAAGGCTGTCCGCTTTCGCCATTTTTATTTAATATTGTTGGTGAGGCGCTTTGTGGCTTGTTTATAAAGGCAACCAAGATCAAGTTGTGTAGTGGGGTGGAAATTGGAGCCGGTGGGGCTGTTTTATCCCATATTCAATTTACTGGCGACCTTCTCATTTTCTCTGAAGCAAAAGAGTCGTCGATCTTAAATTTCAATCGTGTGCTAAAAATTTTTGAAATGGCAGTCGGGCTGAAGTTAAATATGAAAAAGACCATGCTTTTTGGGATCAATATGGACGAGAGCATTATGAAGAGCTGGGCATATAAGATATCGTGTGTTTCGGCAAAGCTTCTTTCGACCTATTTAGGGCTTCGGCTTGGTCAGAAGAAAAATTCTAAGTCCATTTGGTAGCCCATATTGGATAAAGTTAGGAATCGCCTCCAAAGTTGGAAAGGTAAACTCCTCTCCTTCGATGGTAGACTTACTCTTATCAAATCTGTTTTGGTGAATTTGCCGGTGTATTATATATCGATTTTTCCATTCCTATCACTATTGCATAATCAATAAACAAATGCATATCTAATTTTCTGTGGAATGCTATGTCGGAAAGGTGTATTCATTGGGTTAAGTGGGATAACGTTTGTGGGCCAAAGTCGTATGAGGGTTTGGGCATTGTCGACGTCAAAATTAGGAATCGTGCTTTATTGAATAAATGGATCTGGAGATTTAGTGAGGAAATTAATAGCTTATGGAGGAAAATTATAGTTTCAAAGTATAATTATGATAGTGCTTCGATTATTCCAAAAGTAGTTTCCAATAGGAGCTCATCTTGGGTGTGGCGAGGCATTATCAATCCCGTTATGTCAAATGAGGTGGATTTTTTTCCGATTTAAAGTGTGTTATGGGTGACAGTTCTAAGATTAAATTATGGACGGATAGATGGACTTATTTGAACTCACTTAAAGATTCATTTTCGAGAATTTATGCTATTGAAACTAGAAAATTTGGAATGATTTCCGATTTTGGGAGGTGGCATCACGGAGTTTGGGAATGGTCTATTCAGCTGAGACGACCTCTTTTTGATTGGGAAAAGTCCATATGGTCTAATTTTTTTATATGTTCTGAGTAAAGCTATTAGTTCTTTTCCGAGAAAGGATCAGCTAAAGTGGAGTGGTGCGTCTCATGGCAGGTATTCACCGAAAGATTTTTCGGTTAAGATGGAATGTTGTGGCAAACCGGAAGATCCTATATGGAGATTGGTTTGATTCAAGTTTGCCCCACCTAAAGTGGCAGCTTTTGTGTGGAAAGTAGTCCATCATAGGATACCGGTTACTACAGAGTTGCAAAAAAGAGGAGTTAGGAGTATAGAACAGCTCGAATGTGTGTTTTGTAAATGCGAACCGGAATCTATTAATCATGCTTTATGTCATTGTGTAGTCGTATGGCAAGTATGGCTGCGATGGTGCAAGGTGTGGTCAGTGAACATGGTGATCCCAAAGAATGTAAAACAGCTGCTACATGTATGGTTCACGTAAAGAATTAGGAAGCGTCATCGATCGGTATGGCTTCTGGGTTTTTTTGGACTGATTTGGGTAATATGGTTATGTATAAATCAAGCTAGGTTCAAGGGTGTCTCGTTTTCAGTGGATCAGATCTTTACTAAAGTTATATTTCAGGTAGGGGTCTGGTCAAATATTTATTGGCCTACCTTGATTCCATGTGAGCAGGATTTTGTTCGTAGTCCCGAGTCTATCGCTCTTGGTCGAAGGCTTCTGATGTTATGTTGTGTTTATTTGTCCAGTACTGCAATGTTCGTTTTCTGCTAGTTTTGTTTGTTTCAGCAGGTTACCGCAACTATTTGTTTTGTAACTTTATAATTGTTAGTATTTATTTGCTCACAGGCTGTAGTGTGGTTGTTGGATTTCTGTTGGTTCAGGGTATAAGAATTAGATGCGGTACGTCATTGGGGTTATAGCGTTCTGTCCTTCCTGATTGTATTCTCGTATCACCTCAAGGTACACTCTTTTTCCTCCGATAGGTTTAAGGAGGCTTTTTAATGAGGTACTTGGGGTGATGTACTTTGTAATTAATTAATACAATGTACCCTTTTTCAAAAAAAAAAGTGTTTTCATTTCATTATGTATTATTTGTGTTGTTTTCTTTGGATGTATTTTCATTCCAGTGTGTCGGGTTATATTTGCTTCTTGTGTTGTTTGGCCTATTTATGTAGTACTCTTTTCCTCCATTTTATCTTAGGGTGGATTTTAACGAGACTCATAAGCACGCCTTTGACTCTTGCTTTTTTATTAAAATGTTCTTTGCATTGAAAAAAAAGAAAAAAAATCCAGTGCGTCGGGTTTACGTTATCTTCTTCGAATGTTTCTTTGTGTTTTCGTTCCAGTGAAGTATGACCACGGTGAAGCATACAGGATGTTTTTGTTTACCACGGTGACGCATACAGGATGTTTTTGTTTTTTCATATAATAAGCTATTGGAAAACTACCCTGGTAGTCATAATTGATGTTATTCAGTTTAATTGGTTCAATCAGGAATACGCCTGACTTGGGCAATGATTGTACCTATGTGCTATGTTTTGTATTGTAATCCAGCCCAATTAAATCTCAAATGTAATAATTTCGAACTCAATTTGTAATTTATTGTTAGAAACCCTTAAATTGGGTTGAATTTCATTTTCAGGCAGCTTTCCTCTTGTTAATAAAGCCACGTTCCTTTACTTTCTCGTGTGACACGTTATCTGTTGTTCTGCATTTGACTAGGTTTGTAACATGATACAGAGGTATTCGACTAGCTCTGGTCTGGTGCTTATCACGATATTCAAGCTGTGCTTATCACGATATTCAGACTGTGCTTATCACTGCTAAAAGGCCCTCTTATTTTTATAAGACAGAAGGCATGCATTTCCCTGCTCCGGTGTGCTGATGACTTCACCAGCCCTCTCTCTCTTGACTCTTGCTGTGGCAAGAATTTGTTTATGCATCATTATTTTTTTTCATTTTATACTGAAAGCGAAAAACATTTTGTATTTATCAAACTTGATGCTTTTGCCGAAGTAGGGTTACTTTCTGCAGGTCCAACTGGTACCCTACAAACCAGATCTTGCCGAGTCAATACAATTGAGTGGGAGAAAAAGCACACCATGGATACTGAGCTATAAGAACGATTAATAAAATTGGCCTAAACGTTGACATTTCAATTCGAAAACTTCAAGACTGGAATTGGAGTTGGATGAGCCAGGCCCAAGCACCAATACAACACTTGGGCGACTCGCGAGAGCCCCAGCAGCAAGCTACTGTGATGGACACTCCCCCTCAAATAATAAATTTAATAAGATATGTGGACCAATAACTTACGCATCAGATATTAAACCGATAAGAACATATACTACACTTGATCTTAGCCTAAAGGCCGAGAAAAGGAAGGAGAACAATGTTTAGGCATTGATATCATTTAGATTATTACTTAAGCACCGTAATATCTTTAATTAATTATTATAAAAATAAATATTAACAGAAAATACAATAATTTAAAATAATAAAATGAATCTCAAATGTAATAAAATATTTGTTCTATTATTTTGATATGAATAGACCCATAAACACATGGAGTTTAAATACAAGAAAAGAAAATGTCATTAATAATTGCCCAAAAAGGAAAAAGAAAAAGGTGATGTTCGTGTCCCAATTTTCTAAAGATGCAAAAGCTTTGCCATCCAAAATTTATTCCCCATCCAAAAGCTTGTATTGATTCTCTATGTTGTTCATATATCCCACTTTTGTATTTTAGATTTTATTTTATTTATAAAAATGGTTATCACTCCATAAGTCATGATCTATACCAATTATAAAACAGTTGATATCATAAATCAAAATACATTCATTTAATCGGTGAAATAATAATATTTAATATTTTAAAGCCGTTCATTCAAATATTTCAAAATCATGACGAGTTTAACATATTTAATTTTAATATTTTTAATATTTTATTTAAGTTCAAAATATTATATGAGATTGTGTTTTACAATATTACAACAAAGCCAAAAAAATTGTCAATTGCTTTGATAATAAAAACTTTTTTTGGGGTTAGAAACTTCCCTAAATATAACGGAGGAAAAGAGTATACCTGATAATAATATTACAACAAGGCAAGCAAAAGCAATCACAGCTTCGACACAACAAAGCCGAAAAAAAACAAGCAACAGCCTACGTTCAACTTTCCTTCTCATTTAACAAAACAATGACTTCATGAGGAGGATAATGTAAGATCCGAGTCTCAGTTATGTCCGGGCTCACATCTTTCGCTAACAAGTCGGCTACTTTGTTCCCTGATCTCAAGACATGATTGAAACGGACTTCCCACTCTCGATCCAGCAAGCATTTTATATGATCCACAATCATCAGAGAAATACTCGTTTGCTTAATGCCCTGCAGAGTATTGCTCACATTCACATTGTCATTTTTAACAATCACTTTCCGCAAACCTATATTCCAAGCGCAAAGGAGACCGACATAAATACCCCAAAACTCCGCTTCTAAGATCGAGCACATTCCAAGGAATTTTTTGAACCCCACTAGCCACTCACCTTCACTATTCCGAACAACACCCCCACATGAAGCCAAACCGCAGTTTACTTTCGTGGATCCGTCGGAATTAACCTTGATCAAGCCAATCGGTGGAGCTTTCCACACAGCAGATCCCACCTCGCGTCTATGACATCTCCTAGTCGCCTCATGCTCTTGTTCGATTGCATAAGGGATAGTTTTTGAAGTCTCATGCTTTTCGCCAAAATACCCGCACAATCTTCACTCGGATTATCAAAAGCAATAGAATTACAATACGCTGAAATGCTCCAAAGAATTGCCTCGAATAATAAATCCCACTCTTTCCCGTCCTTGGCGAAATAATTAACCTTCTTCGGATTAACATGAATCCATTTCTTAATCTCCATGGATAAGAATTCTTCAAGCTTCTCATCTTTAATCAGCGTCACCCAAATAGGCATAATCATCGAACACTTACGAAATAAGTGGTCCACATCTTCTAGATCGTTATTACAGCAGGGGCAATTACCATTATTCGTGAAGTGCCGCTTCAATCGTTCAACATTTGTCATAATTTCCCCCCAACTCAACAACCAAAGGCAAATCTTGATGCGTTGAAGGCCTTTATAGTTATTAATAGCCTTCCACACAGGGTCAGCAGCTTCTAAATTCAACGTTACCCGTGCTTCATAAACTGATTTATTGGAAAATTGCAAGTCGTCACACCTCGCCCACCCCTAGCTATTAGTATTCCCACCTTCGACCGGACCTTTGATTGCCGCTAACCGTAGAAGAACAGTTATCGGCAGCAGGTGTTCAAATATATTCCACTTCCAAATACACTCTTCATTAGACATGCTCCTCACTGTCGCAGATAAGGAGCTACTAAGGCCATCATTATTCATATAGTTAATCAACGGCTCCAGATTATGGATCCATTTATCTCTCCAAAAGTCCACATTAGCGCCATCACCCACCACACGAACAGTATTGCTACAGACATCCTGCCAAACAATGCTAATTTCTTTCCAAATCTTCAAACAATTCTGATTCTTAATGCTCAAAGGCACACCATCCCCACATTTATACTTGGCGCGCAAGAACCGAACCCACAGAGTATCCTTCTGACATATTAGTTTAAAGGCTAATTTCATAATGAACGACGCTTCATTGAGAGTTTCTAGTTTCCTGAACATAACACCTTGAAACCCGGGTTAATAGTTTAAGTCAATCCGAAACCCATAAACCGAACAAAGCACCCAAATAAAATGTTTGGATTTAGTTAATTAAGGTTTGGACTTGAGTTAGGCCCAAAGGATATTGGTGATTTTGTTTGATTTTGGATTCAAAGGGACTAAAAAGTACAATTTACCTATTTTTATTTTGAAAGCTGAAATCCCCTTATTTTAAGTTGGGTTAAGTGAACCACTCCCCCATAACATCTCACTAAACTTTCTTTTTCTTCCTTCCATCATTTTCCGTTCCTCTTTCTTTCAAAAGTCAATAATTCAAGTATTTTCATTCTAGTTTAGTTAAGCTAAAGTAAGAATATGAATCACCATCCTTCAAGCTTCATTTTAAGCTCTATATTGTAAGATTTCAACTATAGTTTCCAAAATGGGTTTTGGTGGTTATGAGAATCTATAGATATTGACTCTTTTTGGGTGAATTTGAATTATAGAGAGTGTATTTAAATTGTTTTAAAACCTTCTTTATGATCCTTTGTAATCACATAAGATATTAATAACAGATGGGAACTATAATGAATCAATGTGGGTGAGCTTGAATGCCCAAAAGTGCATTCACGATCGGTACTAGAAAGAATAATATCAATATTGTTATTGTTTTAGGCTTAAAATACGTGAACTTTGTAAGGGTAGTATCGATACCCCTTAAAGGTGTATCGATATGGGAGATTTGGTATCGAGAGATCAGAAATTTAGTAGCCACTTTTGGTACTGATACTAAGGGAGTATTGATACCACTATCAGTACTCTTAGCAGAGTATCAATATTAAGAGTCTATTTTCAACATCAAAGCCAATTTCAGTATCGATACCACGGATGAAATCGATACTATAATCTATGAGTATTGATACTGGGTTGGTAATATCAATACTAATCACCTATTTTCAGCTTTAATTTAACTTAGGTATCGATACCCTCATTCGATTTTGGGCATAAAACCCAAAAGTTTTTAATGGGCATTAGGGTTTCCCAAAAACTCTATATTACTATCAAATAAGATTACAAGTGGAAACAATAATAATGCTTAATTACACGAAGAAACGAGATAAGTTAGGGTGACATAAAACTAACATTGATTAATGCTCGGGAAACGATCAGGACACCCGAGTTCCTTTAGCAAAGACAATGAGTCACCTTAGCGAATACCACAAGTAGGATAAAAGACATATGTCATGGACCCCTTCCAAAGAATCTGAGTTGAAACCGAAGATATTTACTGCATGATAAGACTACGCATACTCTCCGGTATACCAATATCCATCAAAGTATCATTAATAAAGCTTCAATCCAATTTGTTATATGCCTTTTCCAGGTCAATTTTAATAGCCATCCAACCCTATTTTCTTGTTTTTCGTCTCATTGAATGGATTGCATCTTGAGTGATGATGATGTTATCCGTGATGCACCTTCCAGATACAAAGCTGGTCTGATTATCCGGAGCCCATTTAGGCAAAAACGGTTTCAAACGGTTCACAATAATTTTGGTAACTGTTTTGTACAACATATTGCAGAGACTAATTGGACGAAATTGATTCATCTTTTCAGGTGTGGGCACTTTAGGAATAAGAAGTAGGAGAGTGCGATTGATCGAAATAGGAATACGACCTTCCGAAAAAATCTTCTCAGTAAGAGCACACACCGACTCACCCACAATATTCCAATTCCGCTGATAAAACACTGCATGAAGGCCATCAACTCACGAAGCTTTCAACGGCCCCGTGCTAAATATGGCATCTTTAATTTCCTCACTAGAAACCGAATGAGAAAGAACACCAAACATATGATTTCCTACTCTCGGGAAGCAGCCACGCACATCATAGACACTGTTCAAACAACTTTGGCGAGTAAATAAGATTTTAGAATAGGATTGAGCAAGATCCTTTAGTTCCTCTTGATCCGACGTCCAAGAGCCATCATCATTCTTTAAGGAAAGAACCTTGTTTTTACACCGACGAGCAAGAGTCGAAGCATGAAAGAAAGACGTGTTGCAATCACCCTTGAGAATCCACTGGGAATAAGACTTTTGTCTCCACAAACTCTCTTCACGATCTAGAATCACCTCAAGCTCCTCACGCAGATCACTACCCAGCCTTGCTAAGTTTTCAGAATTTATATGTTGCATCGCCCTATCCACCCCCACGAATACGAGCAATTAACCTCTTCTTCTTCTTGCCAATGTGCACAAAAGTATCCGAATTCCAAACAGCAATTTGATTCTTAAAAGAATTAATATTCACTTCAATCCTCTCATCTTGCTTCCAAACCGAACAAAGAAAATCATTAAATTTTGGATGCTCTTGCCAAGCCGCTAAGAAGCGAAAAGGGTGATTCCTAGTATCAGGTTTGTCATGAAACATCTTAAGAATGATGGGTCTATGATCCAACCCCAACCGATCCAAATGGAAAACCCGAGACTCCTTAAAATTAGAACACCGGAATTATCCAAAAAAAAAAAATTAGAACACCAATTATTAGTTAACCAACGATCCAGTCTTTGATGAAGATTACCTCTTGACCAGGTGAATCTTGGACCAATAAACCCGATATCTGACAAGCCCGTGGAATTAATAAAATTCGCAAAAGGACGACTCCCATTGATATAAGCATCCGAACTCCCATTAAAATCGCCCCCAATGGCCCAAGGAATTTTATCACCCGGATTAAGGTTCTCAAGCTGATTCCAAAGTTGCTTTCTTTTTATTAATTTAGACATCTGAATAATATTGTAAATAAAACCATGTCAAAACTAAAAAAAAATATTAAATTTTAACATATTAGTAAACCTAGAATTGTAACTCGTAAAACCCAATTAATCTTTCTCCCACGGCTGAGCCTTGGGGGTCCTAAAATTTAGTGTATTAGTTTTTATAAATAATCTAAATGATTATAAAACATAAATAGAATTTTTTAATATATTAATAATATATATAATCTAGAAATATAATTGTTCGAATCATAACTTTGTACGAAAGTAAGAATGCTTTCCATACACATTGACCTTTGAGCAGTGAGAAAAAGATGGAAAACGGAAACGCGGAGAGAATATGATGATTGTTCATTAGAAATTATAGCTATAAAGCTAATCCCCATTCTTTCAAAGCCTGAAAACGATATGCACAAAAATAAAAATATTAAATAACAATAATTGGCGGTGGATGCCTGTCCCCATGTTTCATGCAACAAATCAGGCTTCTTTCCTCACCCTTTTCTTTTTAAAATAATTATTTAATAATTATGAGTAAAGATTTCGAATTTTAAATTGATGTTACAAAAATCGATTGAGGGACTATCGACGACGAATTAACCTTTTAAACTATTTAAATATTAGGAATTAAATCGTAATCTCTCGTGATTTCAACAGTCAGTCGACAGAAACTATGACAGCACATGAGTAGGAGGATGGCAGGGACTACGTTGATGGCAGTGGTCGTGACCAGAAAGGACAGCGACCACGGATTAAGGTTTTGATTTGGGATTTTGGGGTTATTTTATAATATAAAAAAAGTTAGTGTTTTTTTAATATAAATGTCATAATATTTTTTAAAAATAAACTTCAAAATTATCATATTGTGACACGTGTCACTTAACGGTAAAAATTAATGTCGTTGATTGCCCGTGCACCTAAACAGGTAACGATTGTAACGTTAGGCATCTGGATGAGACGAAGATTAGTTTATGCACCTATTTAGAAAAAGCGATATAGTTTGGACACTTATTTTGGTATTAATCCTTAATTTTATTGTCCTTTCTCCATACATAGAAACTGTTTTGAATAATCTACATCATATTAGTTAAAAGAAAGAGAGAGAGAGAGAGAGAGAGAGGAGAAAAAGGCAGGCGGAGAGTCCTGGAAGCATGAATAAAGCTTTGGTTTGAAAAGAAAGTAAGTGAACGGTGGAGGGTTCAATTTGCATCCACAAATTCACTTAAACCTTTCTTCTCTTTCAATAACCGATTCCCAAATTATTCACTTAAATTCCTTCTCCTCCACTTCAATTCTTTTTGTTTATGTGCACACCCTTCTCCACTCATTCAAAAGCTCAAGCTCAAAGTCTAAGACTAAAATAAATGAATGTAAATACCGAGTTTCTAACTAAAAAAAAAGGATATTCAGGGAAGCACATGTAATAATTAATAAAGATACTTTTAATGTTATTTTATCAGATGCTTAAGACTCAAGGTTAAGTTTAAATCTTGTGGATTACGAAATACTGTGCGATATCTATGAGATACGCAGGCACATAGGCTGCAGAGGTTTTAGGAATATTTAACGTGCTTCTTTAATTGCAATTTTGAATGATTTAGTTTTTTCACAAAATTAATTTATGTTATTCGATTTTTAGAATATAGGGTTATATTCGATGATGAGTATCAAAATATGGATTATTATTCATATAAAATCACTTAATACATTATCATGTATTTTATTATCATGTGTTCAACAAATAATAATATATTTTTTTAATATACAGTTGCTTAAAGGTGATAGTATTTATTTTAAAGACTCTTAAAAATTTAATAAATGAATGCTAGCTCAAATACCCTCTAGAAATAACAATCATTCTTTAAACCACTTAAATAATTTGATTCGTACACAAATAATGATATTTAAACTTGGGTCATCAGAGAAACATGCGTCCTTTTGTCATTAAGATCTTTTAGTGTGTTCATAGGTTTTTAATATATAATTTATAAATATATTATTTTAAAAGAATAAGAGAATTTGATACATAATTTTTCATTGTTATTTATTTTTATTTAAAAATAAATAAAAATTGTCAAAAAATTCACTTGCTAAAGGACTACAAAATTATTACGAAAGAAGTGATGTTGAAATTATCACGTGTTCTAAAAACGAAATGTTATTTGAACCAAATACGTCTTAAATATTTGTTTGATATTTTGGTAGTAAAATTATAGGAACATGTGGTTTTACGAAGAAAAGGGGTGAAATACGAGGGAAAAGAATACATTCTGCGCTATTAAAGAAATATTTTACATGGAATCCTTCTTAGTTATCTGTTAATGAAAAATATTTTTACACCATGAATCTACATATACAAGTCCATATAATAATTAATAACCTAACTGTTTGTTTCACGTCATATAATTAATTTCTAAATGAACAAATTAAGCCACTCTTTGATCAATTCCATAAACACACCAAGTCTTCAATATCATCATAAGATTTGCAGCTTCCAAGTTGAATACTGCTTGAAATCATTGATGAAATCTCATTGTTGTTGATCTCAGTGCCAAGGCCAGTGTCTTGTGAGAGACTGGCCATTGATTGGTTTGATGAAAACTGCTCCACCTTGTTGGCTGTCAATGCTCTTAGAATCTTCATGTCGTCGGTTCGGAAGCCACCGGTTCCGGAATCCGAGTCGGTTCCTTGATGAAAGATGGGGTTTTGGATTGGGATTTGAGGGTTGAAAACTGGGGTCTTGTTGATGTCATCGTTTTCACAATCGAAACTTGGTTCCATGAGAGGAGGCAATGAAGAAAAATCCATGAATATTTCATCCCCAAATGAGTCCATTCTTAAGTAATGATCATGAGTTGTACTCTTCTTCACCTCTGTATTCTTATGGAAAACCCTACAAACAACCCATTCATCCTGTCACCAGGAGAGAAAAGAAAGATCAAATTAGTCAAAGATTCTTCTTTTACATCAAAGCAGAAAGAGACTCCAAGTAAATAAACTCTCAACCATTAACTTTTTAACAAAAGAATCCATGGTTTTAATATATACAAAATGAAATTGGAAAAGCTTTTGTTTCTTAAAAGGAAAAGGGGGCCTCAAAAGAGACTTTTAAAGTTAAGCTTTGATCGCATTACCTTTGCACCTTTGGGAAGATTATAGTAAGAGAATTTGCCTTCAAGCCTATATTCATGCATAACCCAATTTGTTTTCTCCCCTCTAGGAGCTCTCCCTTTATAGAAAACAAGGGTCTTTTTCATGCCAACAAGGCAACCTTTGCCTTTGAAAATCTCTTTATCTTTTCCGGTTGCCTTCCAATACCCAGCTCCGGTTGCTCGGTTCGTCCTTGTCCCGGTCGGATACTTCCTATCTCTTTGACAAAAGAAGAACCATTCTTTTCCCCCCATCTTTGCTTTGTCTGCAAAAACCAACCAAAAGGAAACAGAATTAGATACAAACTAAACGTAAAGTAGATACGAACTCAACTTTTAACCCCGAATTTTATTTTCAAATTTTAGCATATGCAATTCCGTGGAGTTGGAAAGAGGACTTACCGGGTAAATCCCAAGGTTCAGACTTGTTGAAATCAGCTTCCCCAATAGCGCATGCACTGAAGTTGCTGTTCATCACCTTTTCCAAAAGGTAATGAGTTATAATCTCCTCGTCCGTCGGATGAAACCGGAAACCGGGCGGCAAATCGACAAGTTCTTCTCGTCCTTTGTAAGCAATAATGGCGTCTTCCATTGGAAAACTACTCATCAAAATTACCCTTTATGAATTTATACAAAATAAAAGAAACCCAGATTCAAAAAAAAAAGCTACGAATAATTCAAAGTAACTGCTGTGGAAAGCAAACGAAACGATAAGAGAGAGTTATATAAGGAGAGTAAAATAAAGGGAAAAAGAAGAGCTTAAATAGACGAGATAAGGTTGATTGGGAGAAACTTAGGCTCCAAGGAAGCCTCATTGTTTGAAAATTTCGAAACAATTTAGTATAATGAAGGTTGAAAATAAAAGAAAGGAGGTTTCTAAGCAATGGGGGAGGCAATGCTTTTTAGTTTTTTCAGCAATATTACATATTAAAATATTTCTCATCTGTTTAAAACCTAACCAAAAGTAATTATTCTATTGCCTTTTTTGGAAAGTTGGAACTTTCCCAGTAAATCTCAATAATTAATTTCCTTTTTATTAATTTCTCAGGCTTAGGTTCATATACTCTTAAATGCACTATTTGGGGTCCAAAGATGAAGAAAATTCATGTTTATTGAATTCTATCAAACTTAAGTCCAAACCTTTCTATTTAATGGAAAATTCATGTTTATATCAAGCTTAAAGTCCAATTTTCTGTTTTTTAGCCAAATAATCTATTACGGAATTAAAAACTAGAGAAATGCAGCTGTAAAAAAATTGTATAATTTCCATAGCAAGGGACAAATTTGTTATTCCGGAAAGATAAATTTAACAAATTATTATTTAAATAAATTTGTCGTTCCAGCAACAAGAGGATTTATTTGAGAATTTTCATTGAAATTCATCTTATAGGAACGACGAGTTTCTTTAAATAATAAAATTTTAGAAATCATCATATTAGAACGACGAGTTCACCTATCGCTAAAATGATTGTCCTAAATTATATTTTTTTGTCATACTACATTTTTTCTCAAATACATTATACCTTTAAAAAAATCCTAATTTTCTTTACCAATTACCAATACATTACCTATCAATATAATTTTTAAATTTATTTTTAAATTATATACAAATAATATAATATAATATAATATAATATAATTGTTTCCTTTATATGAGAGATACCCATAAAATTAAATAATATGTTTTTTAATTTATATGCATGTTATAATTTGTGTTTGTTTACATCATTACAGTTAAATATTTTATAATATATATACACGAAAAATTGTTTGTTTACGTTTGTAAGACCAAGTTCAAATTCTATCATCGTCACTCTTAGTAGGCAATCTGTAGATTATTATATAAATCTCAATTGTGTCTTAGATATATCCTAACCCTAGATTGAGGGAATCATCCATGACTTAAATTTTTGTATCAAAAAAATATTATAACTAAGTCGAGTGAACAAGCCGTGGAGTAGGATGAGACTTATATAAGATCTTCAATTGATGATAGTTTCCAGTTAGGTTTTTTTTTGGGGGGGATTACTCGATATTTAAACAATGATAACTGTAATGCTGCGTAACTAACTCGTAGAAGTATATTGAAAAAAGTTCATTTTTTGTTAGTATATAGTAAAATAATATAATTATATTGTTGGATTCTTTTGAGTATACTCTTTAAAGTCATTATATTAAGTAAATTATTACCTTAACAAGCGTTTCTAGACATCAATTAAAAATTATGGATTCATTTTTTTCAACAAACCTATCCATATATAGGGACGAATGCAAGATTTGATGTTAGAGGGACAAAATAAAATTTCAAAAAGGCGAAAACAGATTTTTAATAGAAAATATATATATATATAATCTAAAATATATTACAATTTTAAATTTTCAGATGGAATAATTCAAACCTGCTAGTATATTAGAACCACAATAAATGGATTAACATTTTGTTTAATATGTTAATCGAATCAATTTATATCAGTATAATCAATATCATATCAATTTTAAACCTTTACTAAATAATATAAATTCCGCTTCAGTCAATATCTTAATAGCTTAAGAGATATTTATATAAATATATTTTATATATATAATCAATGTGTGTTATTATTATTATTATTATTAGGGTAAACTATGTCAATGGTCACTGATGTTTGGGTAAGTTTTAGTTTTCACCTCTAATGTTTTAAAAGTTACAAATAGATCACTAACATTATCGTTTGTGACAAAATGGTCATTGGTCGTTAACAGCCCTTAAGAGGCGTGACGAAAAATACAGCTGGACCGTTATCTGCTGACGTGGATCGTTGACCGCCATTTTGATTGGCTCTTCTTCTTCTCTAACTTATTCTCCATCTTCTTTTTCTTCACTTTTCTTCTTCCTTATTTCTCTTCACTTTTCTTCACTTTCTTTCTCTTCACTTTTCTTCACTTTTCTTCTTTTCCTCTTATCACACACATGAAGTCATTCCCATTGTTGAGTGGAGACATCCCAGGCTATTGCTGCTCGTGAGATACGCTTCTTGTCGATAGAACAACACATTTTCCACTTTCAATCTTTTATTTAGATTTAAAAATTTAATGAAAAGAACGAACTCTTTCAGAAGCTCATTCTGAAGGAATGGAAATTATTTTAGAAGAGAGACACTGGCAGGGTTGTCCCGACAAAATGACAATGATTTCTCTAAATGTGCGACAATGTCAATCATTTTAGGCCTCTCTTTCTTTCCAAATTCACACATTGCATAGTTGTATAGGCCATTAGCTCCACTGCCTCAGCCTCATGAATCTCCGGCACCCCAACGCTTCGATCTACCACTGTCCGAAGATCCCCTGTCGATAACCTCGGGATTGCATACTCAACTACTCCTATTGGCCCAGTCCCATCTTCTTCATTTCTAAAAACAACTTTTCTTCCTGTCAAGAGCTCTAACAATACCACCCCAAAACCATATACATCACTCTTTGTTGTCAATACATTTAATGCACAATATTCAGGATCAATGTATCCAACTGTTCCAATTGCCCTGGTTGACATAAATTCTTGATCATATTTGGGTCCCATCAGCGATAGTCCAAAATAAGACACTCTGGCTGTCCAAACTGCATCTGATAGTATGTTCGACGACTTAATGCCTCGATGAATTATAGGTGACATTGCATAGTTATGGAGGTATTCAATCCCTCTTATTGCATCTAGTGAAATTTTGATCCTCGTTTTCCATGAATTTAAAACGCTATCACGTTTCTCAATGTTGTCTTTGTTATGTAGAGGATTATAAAGTGATCCATTGCTCATAATCCAAATAACCCCACCAAGTGTTTGTGGTGAAGCCGTGATAACAATGCTAATTCTGATTCAAAAGCGGTTTTCTTCTCTTGGAACTTCTTTACCTTTGCTGAAGTCTCCACTCTTTTAATAGAGACTTCGCGACCGTCAGGAAGTTTGCCTTTGTAAACAACCCCGAAGCTTCCGGCACCAATATTATTTTCCATTGAGAAGCTGATGGTGGCATCAGCAAGCTCTGAGAGCGTAAAATGCTGGGTTTTTTCTGCACGTTTTGATGATGATGATCCACTTCTTTCACATCCTAATCTTCGTGAGTTGTTGCGTCTGATGGAAAATGATCTTACATGTGGGGTAATGGTGTCATTATTGTCCACAACGGTCGTAAATATATTGGCATCTGTAACTGTGGGTTGCACGGAGTTATGTGTCTTGTGAAGCAAAAACCCACACATTCCGACCCATAAACAGTAAAAAACAGTGTAAACCCCTGCAAAAGCTCCGATTGATCCAACTATAAAAAAAGCCAAGGAAAGCTTGCTAATGCTCTTCCTTGGTGGTGAAAATGGCTTCATTTTTCGTGACGGAAATTGTGGTAGCAATAGGGTCAATGGCAGTGCAAGTGGGAGCTCAGCCTCACATTGCTTACAAATGTTCCCTGAACCGTAACACAGAACCTCAGAATTCAGATACGTGAAGAAAAGTGAAGAGAAAGAAAGTGAAGAAAAGTGAAGGGAAAGAAAGAATAAGAAAAGTGAAGAAAAAGATGAGGAATGGGTTGAAGAAGAAGAAGAGCCAGTCAAAATGACAGTCAACGATCCACGTCAACAGATAACGATCCAGCTGTATTTTTCGTCACGCCTCTTAATGGCTGTTAACGGCCAGTGACCATTTTGTCACAAACGATAACGTTAGTGACCTATTTGTAACTTTTGAAACATTAGTGGTGAAAACAAAAACTTACCCAAACATCAGTGACCATTGGCGTAGTTAACCTTATTATTATTATTATTATTATTATTATAAACTTGAATCGATTTATCAAATACACCAATATTTATCAAATACACCAATAACAGTGTATATTTGTATTAGAGAAAAATGGTACGTTCATATTATATTTTCAATCTGGGTTTTCGATCTTTGTTGTGAGAGGGGAAAAAAATCTATGGCTGAAGTTTTTGGGAAGACAAATCTGTTTCCGACTGGTAACTATAACCAGAAGAAGAATCTAGAAGGTGGAGCTTGTTTGGTCCCTAAGAAAATTTCTGAGTTTTGTTCGAAACACAACAGTTTTCCTTCTTTGAAGGGGAAATCTCTGGCTTCGAAGAGTGATTTTAATGGTCAAAGAGTCGTTTTTTTGGAGAAGAAAAGTATGAGCAAGAGAAGTTTTTCTCAAGTTCCCATCAAAGCACAGGCTTGATTTAATTAACTTTGCATCTTCTTTTTTTTCATTTCAATTTATAGATTTGTTTTTGTTATTTTTGTGGGTAAGTGGCTATATTTTTATTTGTTTAGCTAATAAGCCTAATAATGTGTCAATTTGTTTTTTAAAATTTGTTGACAATTTTACATGTTTTTTTTTCTTCCTATTATTAGCTTTTTACATGTAGCTGTTAGCTTAGTTTTTCCTTAATTGAATGATAGTAACATAGAAATTACACACACACAAAATCACTTTAAAAAAAACGTAAGGAGTCGCGATTTAAACCCTTTTACAGTGATGAATAAAAACAATACTAATTGGTTTCACTTTTTTTTCCTCTGGATTTGTTTAATTGAATCAGATGCAAACTGGGCTTATCAATCGAGCTAAAAAATGGTGGGAGAAAGGGCTTCAACCAAATATGAATGAAGTTTCTTCTGCACAAGGCTTGGTCGACTCTCTTTTGAATGCTGGTGATAAGCTTGTCGTGGTAGATTTCTTCTCCCCTGGTTGTGGTGGTTGCAAGGCTCTTCATCCTAAGGTATATATATATGTTTTTGCATAGCTGCGTGTATCTACATGTTTTTGTATTGTTTGTGTTTGGATTTTGATTGTGGATTTGGATGTTGGGATTCTGCAGATTTGCCAATTTGAAGAGATGAATCCAGATGTGCAGTTTCTTCAGGTGAATTACGAGGAGCATAAATCGATGTGCTATAGTCTTAATGTTCATGTGTTTCCTTTCTTCCGGTTCCACCAAGGCGCTCAGGGGCGTGTATGCAGCTTTAGCTGTACTAACGCCACGGTTAGTCTCTATTCCCTCCATTCTCATGCAGATAATCTTGTTTTGCCATTTTATACTCGTTGTTCATAAGAATTGCATGGTGCTTACTGTTGTTGCTTGCATTTGATTTTTGTGTTTGTTGATGGATTGCTGCAGCTGATTTTGCATCTCAATTGACACGGCATGGTAATGAGTATGTAACGAACATTGTTTAAGACTGTTCATCATGTTTATCATTATGATCCAACCTACAATGACAAATCCAAAAGATCAAAAAGTTCAAAGATGCATTAGCCAAACACACACCGGACCGATGCAGCCTCGGGCCAACAAAAGGGCTGGAGGAGAAGGAGCTTTTGGCGTTGTCAGGGAACAAAGCCCTCGCCTTTCACTACACGCCAAAGCCAGTTCAACCAACTCCTGTTCCCACTCATGAACTGACTAGTATGCCAAATCAAGTTCCATCTCATTCAAAGACAAAGCTCCCGCTTTCAGTCCCGATGACATCCTTAAAGCAAAGGGACAGCGAGGAGAAAACCTTGGTTGGTGTTGGGAGATGATGTAGTATGGTTTTTGTGCCATCCCCACCATCCGTATTACATTACCATTCCCAGGTTCATCTTTCGTGTGCTAACTTGTTCATATTAGAAGAGAAGAACATAGTATATCGTCTCCCATGGAGTTGCGGAGCAATTCAGATTTATAATTTTGGATCCTAGCCCTGCTTGATTCAAGCGTGGGTGTGAACTTTCGAAGGCGAAAATCAGTGTATTTTTTAAGGTTTTATTTTTATGTTCAAGGGAAAACCCCCTTTTGTGAATGTAGAAATCTTGTGGTTATTGTACAGATGCTGAGACTTGAGAGCCTTCTACTTTTTTTCTTTCTTTCTTTTCTGTTGGTGTTGAAATAAGGATTATCGGTAAATTGTATTGGATATTTGGTCTGAGTGATAATTTATCACCCCCCTCCTTTCCCCCCTATATATTCATGTGTGGGCATGTATATATTGATGCTTAAATGAATTTATCAATTTGATACATCCTTAAACATGCATGGTCAAATGTTGTACGTATTTAAGGGATTATATCGAAGTTGATAAGGACTTCTTTGAGAATGACGACTTCGAAGGCAATGCATGCAGTGATATTTTGAAAAAAAAATAAAAAGTGCCATGTTCTATGTGTCCTATGTTAATATCTAGTAGCTTTTGATGATCTACTACAACTCATGGAAGCTTCAAGAACTGCCTGCAGTGTTGTGTCTGAGACATTGAATTGGACATCATCCTTTAAGACATTTGGACGATTGTCTGTTTTTATGACAATGGTAGAAATCCAGAAGAGGACCGCAACATGTTGAGGCAATTAGTTTTTCGTATTATCATGAATTTGCATTTATGAACCCATTACCCTACCTGTTCCGTTTTTTTGGGGGGGGGGGGGAGACAGATGCCAAAGAAGTGTCATTTTAACAGGAAATGTTGGATAAGGTTGCTTGTGTATTTTAATTCATCAACATGGCCACCCTTGCTTTTCAGAGAAAAGAAAAGAAAAAACCTTTGATTGATTAGTGAAAATGTATTCTAACAGCTGGATCCGCTACGAAAAAATTCAAGGATTTCTCAAATTCTCAACACTCCCATTATTTCCTCTCTATGATTGACAAGTTTGAAAGTAACTTGTTTCATTCAAATGTTCAATGGTTCAATGTTTCCATGTGTCCATTGAAGTAGTTTTCCCTGCTTGCAATGCTTAGCTTGGAAGCAACATATGGGGTCCTATTATTATTTTTTATTAACTTCAACATTTTTAGACACAAGAAATTAAAATTATTTAACTTTCAAAGAAAAATAAATTAATGAAATTTAACTTTTGACAGAAATTTCATTGTTTGTAAGTGGGTTCACGTGCATAAAATATACATAATATGTTTCAGTTTTAAGTGCAAGAGTGAGATTTATTAATGGATCCGGTGGTTAAGAATATTCATGTTATTTTATCTTGTGTAGGTTAAGAATGCTCATGTTGTTTCACCTTACATAAATATATGTTAAAAATCTTTCTTAGGCACTGACAGTGCACACACACTTTGTACACAAAGTTGCTTAAACTCGAGATCTCTAAGGAAAACAATACACATTTTTACAACTGAGATCATTCAATGCGTTTATTAATAATACAAATTAAATGATGTAGTTTGATTAAATTAAAATTTAATGATTGAGAATAAATTACCTACTTGAAATAGGCCGAATCCAATTAATTTGAACATAAATTTTAAAATGTATCAATTGTAATTATTAAAAGATGTAAAGTAAAAATAAACCCATTATTATACAGTTAGGAGCATATACGGATAATACCAGAAATCAAATGGAAGGGTACCCCTAATGTTTTACCCCACATGTTATTTTGCAAGGATGCTAAATTATCACCAAAAGCCTAGCATAAGGGGAAGAAATAAAAATTTAGCCAAAGACAACTTGCCGACTTTCAAATGCGTGGGAGGTTAAACTTGGAGCCGGCAAGTCGTTCTTGGCTGCATCCTTCTTTCTACGCCCATAGGTTAGGCTGCTAGGGACCATGAAATGAGCAAGCAAGAAATGGGACAGGCAGTGTATGAACTTGAAGCTGAGCAGAAGTCAAAGTTAAAGAGACGATGATATATATATAAATTTGCTTACATGTTTATGTCTTTCTGATAAATATTTAATAATATATCTGCTACCGAGGCGGTCTTGTGAGGACAGCTACTCAAGATCCTAAATACGAGGATTAATACGTAGAGGATTATAGTTTTGTATTCATATTATCTGAAAAATGTTGGAAGCGTAGATGGGCACTCAATAATTTATGACTCGAACTTTTATTTATTGATACGAAAGAAAATATGTTACAACGACACTCTCAATATTACAATACTACAACACTAACTTCGGCTAGTTTACAAGCTTTGCTAAGCTTTCTTTTAAATTCTCTCTAATTTTTTTCTCGTTACTCACACACTCACTTGGACCTAAACACACATATTTATATATGTAATAAACCGACTTAAATTTTGCTAGATAATTCCAAGCCGTGTTCTACTCTAATTTTGATAAGATTTCAGCCTTGAATTTGCTTGCCACGTTTTAAGCTTTCTACACTCTTCTTGCCGACATTAATAATTGAGTTTGTCTTCTAACACTCCCCCTCAAACTCGATTTTCCATTCTGAGCTTTTCTTTGAGTCGGTTGAATATATCTGCTCTCAATGGTTTTGTGAACATGTCTGCTATTTGATCTTCAGTACTGCAGTAAATTAGCTCTACATTTTTGTTCTTCACCTGCTCTCGTATAAAATGATACTTTGTATCAATATGCTTGCTTCGGCTATGGGAGACTGGATTCTTAGCAAGGGAAATTGTAGACTTGTTGTCGACATAGATTGTAATTGGTTCTTCTTGTGCCAAATTTAGCTCGTTCAAAATATTCTTTAACCACATTGCTTGACAAGTGCACGCTGCTGCGGCTATGTATTCTGCTTCACATGTTGAAAGAGCTACCGTTTGTTGCTTCTTTGATGACCATGAAAATGTTGCAGAGCCGATATGAAATAGATATCCAGTTGTGCTTTTCGATCGTCTAAGTCTCCCCCATAATCACTATCAGAATAACCAACCAGCTTCGAATTTTCTGAATGCGTGTAGAATAAGCCATGACTTGTTGTACCTTTGACATATATGAGGATTCTTTTTGTTGTAATCCAATGATCTTGTTTCGGATTCTCCATGAATATGCTTACCAATCCCACAGCGTATGTTATATCTGGTCGTGTGATAGTCAGATACCTTAGACTTCCAACGATGCTTTTAAACAACGTCGGATTCACTTGTTCTCTTGTTGAATTCACACTTAATTTGACTCCTGGTTCTGCTGGAGCAGCTACCGGCTTGCAATCTTCCATTCTGAATTTTCTTAAAATTTCTTCTGCATACTTCTTTAGTGATATAAATATTCCTTCTTGCATTTGCTTCACTTCAACTACAAGGAAGTATGACATTTCTCCAATATCTGTTATTCAAATTCTTTAGTCATAGTTTTCTTAGAATCATTGAACATACCTGGATTATTTCCTGTGAAAATCATGTCGTCCACATATAAGCACACGATCATGATATCACCTTCTTCATTTTTCTTTGTGTATAAGGCATGCTCATATGGACTCTTCATGAACCCGTTTCTTTGTAAATATTCATCAATCCTCGTGTTCCATGCTCCCGGGGCTTGCTTCAGACCATATAGAGCTTTCTTCAATCGATAAACTTTGTCTTCATGTCCATTTTTAATGTATCCAGGTGGTTGCTCAATATAAACTTCTTCTTCTAGGTAGCCATTTAGAAATGCTGACTTCACATCCATTTGATAAATTTTCCATCCTTTTTGTGTTGTGACTGCTGTGAGAAGTCTGATGGTCTCGATCCTTGCTACTAGAGTAAATACTTCATCATAGTCTATTCCTTGTTTTTGCTTATAGCCTTTGACAACTAGCCTCGCTTTGTGCTTCTCGACCTTTCCTTATTTATTGGACTTTGTCTTGTAAACCCGTTTTACTCCAATTGGGTTATGGCCTTCTGGTTGTCTTGTTAGCTCCCATGTATCATTTCTTTCTATTGATGCAAATTCTTCATCCATTGCATTCCTCCATTTGTCATCTTCAACCGCTTCTTCGTATGTTATTGGATCACTTTTCACAAGTAAGCAGAAAAGTGAAACATTATTTTGTTCATAATCGTTGTACCTTTTTGGCATTCTTCTTTCTCTTGCGGATCTTCGAACTTCTGTGGGAGGTGCTTCAGGATCTTCTATTATGTTACTGGCATCGCTACTGCTGTTTGACGAAGATGGTACATTTTGTTGAGGACCTTGATCATCAGCTTGTTCATCTTGATTGATAAGATCGTTATCTTTAAAAAATAGTCCTTCAACTTTCTTTTCCACTTTGCTCCATCGAACTCGACAACTCTTGAAATAATTATCTTCTTGGTAATAGGATTATATAATCTGTAAGCTTTGCTTCTTTCATTATAGCCAATGAAAATACATTTTTCTCCTCTGTCATCAAGCTTCTTTCTGGTCTGTTCAGGAACGTGGGCATATGCGATGCATCCAAAAATCTTGAGGTGTCTAACACCTGGTTTCTGTCCATTCCATGCTTCGTTTGGCGTCATATACTTCACGCTTTTTGTTGGACATCGGTTCAATAGGTAAACTGCACATCGAACTGCTTCAGCCCATAAATTTCTCGGTAGTTGCTTGTCTTTTATCATGCTTCTTGCCATGTCCAGGATTGTGCGGTTCTTTCTTTCTGCAACTCCATTTTGTTTTAGCGTGTATCTGGCTGTCAGCTGATGGATGATGCCATGCTCTTTGCAGAATTCTTCAAATAACTTTGATGTATATTCGCCTCCTCTATCTAATCTGAGTATCTTCAAATATTGACCGCTTTGTTTTTCCGCCATTGCTTTGAATTCTTTCAATTTTTCTAGCGCTTCTGACTTTTCTTTCAAGATGTAAATCCAACATTTCCTGCTAAAATCATCAATAAAAGTTAGGTAGTACCTGTTACCACCAAGCAATGGTATGTCAAAAGGATCTGCTATATCTGTGTGTACTATCTCCAGCGGTTTTCGGGCACGCCAGGATCTACCAACTTCAAAGCTTTGTTTCTGTTGCTTTCCTTTAATACAAGCCTCACATAATTGATTTGGAGGGTTGATCTCTGGTAGTCCTTTCACCATGTTTGTTTTTTATAACAGCTTCAAACCAGAAAATCCAATATGTCCATATCTTAGATGCCATAGCCATGAATCATCTTTGATCGCGGTCTTCATGCACTTGACTT